CTTCAAAATAGTTCCTGAACCAGTGTTATATAATTCATACGAAAACAAACTCAGATTACGATATAAGAAACAAAATTCCGAACCTGTGAAGTGAAAGAGAATTCGATCAAATATTCAGGAATTTTCGAATCGACGGAGATGGTGAAGGAGTGGAATTCAAAGCGCCGGAGAAGATTCATAGACCGCCGCGTGATAATAACGAATTGCCGGTTTATCTGCCAATTCGTTTGCACCGACGTGGCTTGTGAATGACAATAATACCCTCAGCCTATAAATATAAATAACGAAATTACCCCCGTTGAACAAAACAACTCGATTTTAGTTTACTGTGTATTTTTGCGAAGCTTCTCTTCTCTATTGGAACTTAAGCGATTCCAGTAAAACGGCACACAACTGCAAAACCCTAATCTCAATTTCTGTGGAATATTTGGAATTTGAGTAGAAGAGATGAACAGAGGAAGAAGGAATCTGAAACAAGCGGCGTCAGAGCAGGATTTCACGCTTGAGGAATGTCAGAGCATTGCCCAAGTCGTCTCTCTCAGAGGTTCCAATCAAATTGAGGTAAAGAGGAACGCTTTTTATACAGTCTCGCCAATTCGTTGCGTGTTTTCTTCGGTGCTTAGTTTGTATGTACGAACTAACTAAAGTTTGGATTTTTACGTCCCTTTCATGTTATTATAGCTTTATGACAACGAGAGTGTTCTGAGTAATTTGTTATTAACTGCTGTTGTTGTTTTGTTGTTTCTTTGAAGATAATGGATGCAAAAGGAGAGAACTCATTAGCTTTGTTTCCAGCTAAGTTTCGTGAGAGCATGTGGATCAGACGAGGTAATTTTCTTCTTCTTGTAAACACTGTTACTTGTTTCTTCTCTCAGACTTGTTTAAACAGAAGAACGAAATTTATGTTGTTGTTACTTTGATTTGCAGGAAGCTTTGTAGTGATTGACCATACAGGAAAGGAAAAGGCTCAAGAGTCTGGTAGTAAAGTTACATCTATTGTCTGTAAAGTTCTATTCTTTGAGCAAGTCCGTCTCCTTCAAAAGTCCCCGGAATGGTATAGCTTCTTTCTTTTCTTCTGTATGAATGGCTTCTAATTTTGAGTAATGTAGCTCATGTTAGTTTGGACATGGTGAACGCAGGCCGGAAATCTTCAAAGATACTAAACCGATTCCAGCTGATAAAAGCTCACCCATTGAACAGCATGAAGATGACGGTGAAATTGATTCGAGTGATGATGATGATGATGGCATGCCCCCATTGGAAGCAAACACAAACAGATTGAGACCGTTTGGTGTGCAATGTACTGCAGAAACAGATTCAGGGTCAGATTCCGATTCATAGAACATCCAGTATATTTCTTTC